AGAAACATCGCCTGCATCGCCGATCCACTCACTAACTTCACCAGGGCCGACGTGGACTTCAAGTGGGAAGCGCCCCAGAAAGAAGCTTTTGAGGAATTAAAACAACGCCTCCAGACGCCTCCCATTGCATGCCCATTCCGACAAATTCGTGAAGACAGAAATATACACTGATGCAAGCAGCGTTGGTCTCGGCACCATTTAGTGCAAAGGACTGACAGACTGGTAAGGGTTATTAGTTACGCCAGCCGATCGCTATTCAAAGCAGAAGCCAATTATTTCACAACAGAAAAGGAGAGCCTCGCAATCATCTGGGGTACGTCTATATTTCGCCCCTACCTCTACAGCGGGCCCTCCAAAGTTGTGAGCGACCACCACGCCTATGTATTGACTAGCTACTTTGAATGACCATTCAGGTCGCCTCGCACGATAGAGCCTGAGACTTCAAGAATATGACACCACCGTCGTTTACAAGTCTGGCAGGAAACACTCCGACGCCGATTGCCTCTCTCGTGCACCTAATGGCCCACCAATGCTCGATGTCCCAGAAGACGACTACTCCTTGAGAACGATAACTGCCGACGACTTCACTGAACAACAGCGGGCCGACCCGGAACTTAGGGCCCTAATAGAAAACCTCGAGGGCAGGACCCCCACTGTTCCAAAGGTATTCAAGCTGGCACTTGCGTCGTTCCTCTTGCGAAACGGTCTTCTCCACAAGAACTTCTCACCACTTCGAGCCAAGTACTTTCTTGTGGTGCCTTCAGCTTTGCGACCAGAACTCCTGCAAACCCTGCACAATGATCCGACAACAGGCACTTCGATGTATCCCGTACGCTCGCAAGAATACAAGAAAGGTACTACTGGCCCCGTCTTACCACCGATGTCGCTCGTTATGTGAGGACAAGCCTGGACTGCCAGCGACGCAAGACACCGCCGACAAGGCCAGCGGGATTTTTACAGCCCATTGGACTACCTCGCCGACCATACCAGCAGATCGGTATAGACCTACTGGAGCCGTTGCCGACGTCAGCTTTCGGAAACAATTGGATCGGTAGCTACCGACTACCTCACCCGCTACGCCGAGACAAAAGCCCTGCCTGAAGGCAGTGCATCCGAGGTAGCTATGTTCTCCAGCAAAAACATCGTCCTACGTCACGGCGCTCCGAAGATTCTCATCACCGACAGAGGAACGGCATTAGCTGCTGACCTAACTCAAGTGATCTTAGCATATAGCCAGACAAGCTACCGCCAGACTACAGTGTACCACCCACAGAACAACGGCCTCACCGAGCGGCTAAACAAGACCATCTCTGACATGCTGGCAATGCACTTCAATATGAAACAAAAAACATGAGACGCCACTCTTCCGTGCGTGACCTTGGCTACAACACGGCGGAGCAGGAGACGATGCAGCTATCTCCATACAAATTGGTCTGCGGAAGGAGCCTGACAACGACGCTTGACGCCATGTTACCGAACGTGACTGACGAAGAGAACCTCGATGTGAGTGATTACCTTTAGCGTGCTGAAGAAGCCCGACCACTCGCCTGCCTCCGTATCAAGAACCCACAGACCTTTGACAGCCGTCATAACAATCTTCGACTACGCTTCGTGGAATACCAGCCTTGTAAACGTGTTGGGGTGTGGACGCCGATACGCCGACGTGGACTGAGTGGTAAGCTTCTCGACGCTACTTCAGACCGTATAGAGTGGTTCGACGTCTCGGCCCACTCGATGGCGAGGTTGCCCTGACGGCATCACGGACTCTCAACAACGTCAATCGCAATCTGTAGTAGTCCATGTCACGTGCCTCAAGCCGTTTCATACGCGTTGACGAATTGAAACAGTGTATTTTGTTGTTGTATTATTGCTGTATTGCAATTTATTGCTTGTACTTTCTTGCATGCATTGTTGTTGTACTTTCATCTTCTGTTAGAGCATCGGGATGATGCCTTTTGGAGAGGGGGGGCAACGCCACATTCCATTCTCAAGGTTTGTTATCACCCTGTTACACTACGTACAGAGCAAACCTGCGCCTACGATGTTCGAGAAGCTTCGAGGTTATAGTAGTAGTAGAACATGACTGCATGCCACGCTCATGAAGCACCCGTGGCTGTTTCGCTAGCTTCAATTTTGGTATTACGTCACGCGAATGGACGACAGACGTAAATGACATATTAATCTTGATATGCGTGTCATGTAAAACACTACTACCTGCTACGCTCATGTCTATCGCGCTAATGGCTGTTTCCCTAGCTCCACGTATAACAAATTTGCTATTACGTAACGTGAGTGAATGACGAAAGTATATGACTGGTGCGAACATGGTAATCCTGACATGGGTGTCATGTAAAAACATAACATACCCCGCTCATGATGTGCTCACGGCCAATTGGCTAGCTTCACATATATAAAATTTGATGTTGCATGACGTGAATGGACAACAAAGGTGAAGAACACTTCAAAGCATGATAGTCATGACAAGCGGGTCATGTAAAAGGTGATTACACACGACGCTCATAGCCCACTCGCGGCCGTTTCATCAGTGCAACATGTACCAAATTTGGTACCATGTGACGTGAATACACTTCAAAGGTAAATGACACGTCGAAACATGATACTCATGACATGTGTCTCATGTACACATGCCTACATCCTACGCTCATAGCATGCTTGTGGCCGTTTGGCTAGCTGCACAAATGCCTAATTTGGTAACACATGATGCGAATGGACGACAAAGGTAAAGGACACGTCGAAAATGATAATCATGACATAAAAGCCATGTACGCATAATTTATGACCACCTCGTAACGTTCTGCTGATTTTGAAGTGGCACATCAGCCTTCCTTATATGTGCTTCACATATCATCGATTCTCACTGTACGACGGATCTGCCAATTTTTTCTCTAACGAATTTTCTTCAGCAGCTAGGTCTCACTACACTTGCGAAGCGTGGCCATGTTGAGTGCCTAAAATTTTTGCACAATTTCATCAATTCGTCTGGCTTTGGCACTGTACTATTGTATCTAAAAATTTATAAATTTTTGTCTACGAGGAGTGACCATGCCCATGACATTGCAACTTTTTTTCGCCCACACTGACATGTTGAAATACTAATTTTTCCCTTCAACCATAGAAGCCTGCAATATGCTGCCCAGAAGTGTTCCAGAATTTTCAGAAGCCTGTTCATGAATGTTTATTTATTCCTGTTGTTTTTGTCCTTTCCCACTTCTGCAATAGCCTCATCAAGACTGCAGTATGTAAAAATAAATAAATTGGTAATCAAATAAACGCCAAATCGAATATCATTTGGATGAAGCATCCATATTTCTTGTTGCTAAGTGATGTGCCGCTTTGCCAAAGGCCTGCGCATATCCAAGCCTATCTTGGTGCAAATTAAAGCCAGTTTTAGTCAGTTTTATGTTGTGTTGTGCATTGTTCGTCACTCATATCGATCGCGCTGTGCCTCTTCATGGCTGCGAACGAAGTTGCGCAACTCAATCTTGATGTATGTCTAAAGACTTACAGTTGACATAAACGCTTCAGCGACGAGCAATATTTCCATTTTTCGTCCGCCAGTATTTCTTCGTTTCTCGCTACTCATTCGGTTCAGGCGTTCAGCGCGACACTAACAACAAAAGGGGCCTGTTTCTACTTTGCCTTGCTCGCTGTCATTTTTTCGCGCTCATAGCTGTACTGTACCAACTCGGCGAAACTGCACCTCTTGCCGCCTCCATTCAGCATGCAACGCCTTCAAATGGTGCTTAGTAAGTCACAATGAATGCTAAGAATACAAATGCACTCACTTGCCACTCCCACTCTCCATACAGTTTATGCGAGTGCGCACGCACGCACAATATTTTCATGCAACGTGAATACCTACAAATACAACATACCTATAGATGAAGCATCTCAATATAACAGCAACCTACTAGAAGCACTCACACAGCAATTACAGGTATTTTTCTAGCAGTAGAAGCCATCTATCGTTTTTCTCTCCGTAACAGATTGATTGTCTCACACAAAAGCAATAAAAATTCCCATCACCTTCACAAAGGAAACCTAATGGTATGCGAAACAGCAAGCGGTGGAGATGGTGAAGCGAAAGGTGACACATATAGACATGTTTCAGCACGTATGTTAGGTGCACATCAGGTTTATTGCCCGTGAACCGACGAGTCGGCGGTGTAGCGGCGATGGTAGCGGCAGATGTAGCGGACGAACGGACGAGGCGGCAGCTGCGCGAGCTGCAGCGAGCGTGCGGCAGGCGAGGAAGTTGGCACCGCTCTAAAACTTGTGGCGAGGGGAACGCTTTCCAGCACGTTCGCACGAACACACGTGCGTACGACCTTGACCACGTGAATCAAAGAGCTGCTTCACATCTAGAAAAAGAGCGGGGAGGTGTTCATCCGAACGATAGAAATACAGTACGCACTTGACGGCATCTGCTGCGTCTGTTGTTTTTTTGTTTACTTCAGTAAAGGTGCTTATGTCAACTACTAATCTAGTGGATGGCCCCGCCGTGGTGGTTAGTGGCTAAGGTACTTGGCTGCTGATCCGCAGGTACAGGATCGAACCCGGCTTCGGCGGCTATATTTCTGATGGAGGCGGAAATGCTGTAGGCCTGTGTGCTCAGATTGGGGTGCTCGTTAAAGAACCCCAGGTGGTCGAAATTTCCGGAGCTCTCATCTACAGCGTCTTTCATAATCATATGGTGGTTTTGGGACGTTAAACACCACATATCAATCAAACCTAGTGGATACCCTCCACTGTGCAATACGGTAACGGATTCCGCCCACAAGTGACCCCTTACATAAAAACCCGGAATACGACATATTTATTACCTTCATAGGTTAATATAATCAACATCAAAACGAAGAAAGCAGCCACTTCATGGGACTGTGATACAGGATCTTTGCCGCTGTATTTTACATTTTTAAGGACAAGAAAAAGCGTCGTGCAATGAGTGCCATTCGAGGATTGCATTGTGTGATACTCACTGCCCACTGATTCGGCAACCTCAGCGCTTTCGTCGGCGTTGTTGATAAGGCCTGCAGACAGAATGTCACAATGATAAGCAACTGCAACAGGCACTGTTGGAAGGAAAACAAAGAGATTCTTGAGTTCAGCCTGATAAAAAAAGCTGAGACGAGAATGAAATAAAAATTTTCTCTAATAATCGCAATAATACCATGTTCTGTGTCAATAATTTGAACATTTGCTACAATAATAATATCCGAGGCTGTTTTCAGCCTCGGAAATGGCCTCGTAAGTGTGACAGAAGTTCAGGGCAGCTTCACACAGGCGAATTGAAGTACGAAATGGTTCCTACCAATATCTTCACTGCTAGCGATAACTAGGTAGTTACAGCACCCGAATTCGGACTGTAATCCAGACTCGAGTACCGCCTTGCCAAAATTTTTTCTTTGGTTAACTTATTTCTTTCCTCCTTATCGGCGAGCAGACTATGCGATTGACGCTCGTCTCCTACTTGGTTCATGGCACTGGCGGGAAGTGCTTGTATTACATGTGATAGATACACATGGCCCCGGTCCTTGAGGAGGAGTAGCACGATACCATTCAGCATAAAAGATGTGCTCTTTGATGATATAACTTTTCAGCGCACTCGAGAAATTGTACCAGAAACAGGCAGACGAGAGCTACCTCTCAACTAATTTATTTTTGAAAAGAAGAAAACATTTAAGGACCTGGAAACCCACGTGACAGCAAACATACAACGACATGGCTAAATAGAATTTAAAATAGCGTACTTCCTATCTGTTAAAGCCACTAAAGATTGACGAATACATTTGTTTGTGCATCTATTTATATGGAAGGTTGCCGTCCGTTCACGTATTAGTTTACCTCTATATGACAACAACATACGCGTATTTACCCGACTGGTGGAGCCGACTACTCCGTCATCAGTGGGTCGTTCGCCGCGAAGTTAAAGAAAGTTAGGACAGCTTGGGAAGGCCCTGAAATCTGCACAGGCGGAGGTAATCTCGTAACGCCTGCAGGAATCAGCACAGCGAGAGTCACCATTACCGGCCGTATTTATCCTACAGACTTCGTAGTCCTACAGTGTTGCTCGAGAGATGTCATCCTTGGCATGGACTTCTTACGCTCCATGGTGCTGTACAAACCTAAAAACAAAGTCGATAACATTATCCACAGAAGAAGTACTACCACCGCGCAGGCCGTCAGGAAACCATGCCTTGAATGTGCTGAAAGAAGAAGTCACCATTCCGCCTCGCTCCAGCATCATTATTTCGGTCAGCGCTCCTAATTCACCTGACTTGGAAGGCATCGTTGAAGGCAGTCAGCATCTGTTGGTCACCCGAAATATTTGCGTCGCAAGAAGAATTTCAGAGCTGCGAGGAGGCGAAGCAACGGTTATGCTCACAAATTTCAGCAATGAGTACAAACATGTGAACAAAGGAATAACGGTCGCATACATCGAAGAAATTGTCAAAGCCGCCAGTGCTTTCGCCCTCGCCGATTTTGCGGAACCTGCTCAGAGGAACCAAGCCTCTGCCATAGCTTTCGATGTCAATCCCAGACTTCCGAACCATAAGTAAGAACAGCTCAAGGCCCTTCTCCTGCAATACGAAGATTGCTTTTTGTCGTCATCGAAAATTCGGCAGACCCCAATCACGAAACATCGCATCATAACCGAAGAAAATGCCAGACTACTCCGTCAGAGTTTGTACAAGGTTTCGACACAAGAACGTGAGGCCATGAAGAGACAAGTTGATGAAATGCTGCGGGATGACATTATCCAGCCGTCCAAGAGTCCATGGGCATCCCCCGTGATGTTAGTGAAGAAAAAGGATGGCACCTTACGTTTCTGCGTCGATTATCGCTGCCTGAAAAAATCACAAGAAAGGACGTGTATCCTCTCCCACGAATAGACGACGCACTTGATCGGCTCCATAACGCCAAGTACTTTTCGTAAATGAACCTCAAGACTGGCTATTGGCAAATCGAAGTCGACGCAAGAGACCGAGAGAAGACGGCGTTTATAACGCCGGACGGCCTCTTCAAGTTTAAGGTGATGCCCTTCGGTCTTTGCTCAGCGCCTGCAACTTTTCAACACGTTATGGATACAGTACCGGCAGGATTGAAGTGGCACACTTGCCTTGTGTGCTCGGACGACGTCGTTGTGTTTTCCTCGAGTTTCGACGAGCATCTTCGGTGCCTTGAAGCTGTACTTCAAGCCATCAAGACGCCCAAACTCACACTGAAGCCAGAAAAGTGCAGATTTGCGTACAAGGAGCTCTTGTTTCTGGGGCACATTATTGGCAAGTCTCGAGTTCGTCCTGATCCACGGAAAACAGCCGCCATCGCTGACTTCCCGCCGCCCACTGCCAAGAAGGCGGTGCGCCGATTTCTGGGCATGTGTGCCTATTAGAGGCGGTTCGTGAAAAACTTCGCCCGCATCGCCGATCCTCTCACTAACCTTACCAAGGCCGACGTGCAGTTCAGGTAGAAACGCCGCAAGAACACGCTTTCCAGGAGCTTAAACATCCCCTTAAGACGCCTCCATTACTTGCTCATTTCGACGAATTCCCCGAGACAGAAATACACACTGACGCAAGCAGCGTAGGTCTTGGCGCCGTTCTTGTGCAGAGGGCTGACAAACTTGAAAAGATTATTAGTTACGCCAGCCGATTGCTATCCAAAGCAGAAGCCAATTATTTCACAACAGAAAAGGAGTGCCTCACCATCATCTGGGCTACGTCGAAATTTCGCCCTTACTTCTACGGCAGGCCCTTCAAAGTTGTGAGCGACCACCACGCCTTGTGTTGGCTAGCCACCTTGAAGGACCCTTCAGATCGCCTCGCACAATGGAGCCTGAGACTTCAAGAATATGACATTACTGTCATTTACAAGTCTGGCAAGAAACACTCCGACGCCGACTGTCTCTCTCGTGCGCGTGTCGACCAACTACCTCCCGACGACCGGGATGACGACTACTTCTTGGGAATGATAACTACCGACGACTTCGCTGAACAACAGCGGGCCGACCCGGAACTTAAGGCCCTAATAGAATGCCTCGAAGGTCCCGAAGATATTCAAGCGCGCACTTGTGTCGTTCTTCCTGCGAAACGGTCTTCTACAAAATAAAAACTTTTCACCACTTCGAGCTAAGTACCTCCTTGTGGTGCCTTCATTTTTGCGACCAGAACTCCTGCAGGCTCTGCAAGACGATCCGACGGCAGGGCACCTCGGTGTTTCTCGCACGCTCGCGAGGATACAAGAAAGGTACTACAGGCCGCGTCTTACCACTGACGTCACTCGTTATGTGAGGACATGCCAGGACTGTCAGCGACGCAAGGCACCGCCGACAAGGCCAGCGGGACTTCTGCAGCCAATTGAACCACCCTGCCGACCTTTCCAGCAGATTGGTATGGATCTACTGGGGCCGTTCCCGACGTTGGCTTTCAGAAACAAGTGGATCGTGGTAGCTACCGACTACCTCACCCGCTACGCCGAGACAAAAGCCCTTCGCAAAGGCAGTGCATTCGAGGTAGCTAAGTTCTTCGTCGAAAATATCGTCCTACCTCACGGTGCCCCGGAGGTCCTTATCACCGACAGAGGAACGGCATTTACTGCCGACTTAACTCAAGCGATCTTGGCATACAGCCAGACAAACCACCGCCAGATGACAGCACACCACTCACAGACCAACGGCCTCACCGAGCGGTTTAACAAGACGATCGCTAACATGCTGGCAAGGTACGTCGATGTCGAACACAAGACGTGGGACGCCATTCCTCCGTACGTGACCTTCGCATACAACACGGCGGTGCAGGAGACGACGCAGATATCTCCATACAAATTCGTCTACGGAAGGAGCCCGGCAACGACGCTCGATGCCATGTTACCCAACGTCACCGACGAAGAAAACCTCGATGTGAGTGAGTACCTTCAATGCGCCGAAGAATCCCGACAACTCGCGCGTCAACGTATCAAGAATCAACAGACGACCGACAGCCGCCGTTGCAATCTTCGACGACACTTCATGAAATACCAGCCCGGTGAACGTGTTTTGGTGTGGACGCCAATACGCCGACGTGGACTAAGTGAAAAGCTTCTGCGACGATACTTCGGACCGTACAGGGTGGTTCAACACCTCGGCCCACTTGATTACGAGGTTGTCCCCGATGGCATCACGAACTCTCAACGATGCCGATCGCGACCTCAAGTCGTCCATGTCACATGCCTCAAGCTGTTTCATGCGCGTTGACAAACTGAAAGAGTGTTTTTGTATTATTATTGTGTCATAATTTATTCATTGTACTTTCTTGCATTATTGTTGTACCTTCATCTCTAGTTAAAGCATCGGGACGATGCCTTTTTCAGAGGGGGGGGGGCAATGCAACGATCCATTTGCCAAGATTTGTTATTGTCCCAAAACACTACACAATTCTCAGCGCAAACCGCGCCTGCAGTTTTCGAGAAGCTTCCGGACTGTATTAGTTGATCGACGGCCGACGCTCCGTTCACTGCTATCTGTGCAAGACTGCTACTGTAATCGAACTTTCCGTTTACCGGGCACAGGTTCCCCAAATAAACAGTTAAATCCCAACATAAAGTCTCCTGTCTTCGGCCACGTCACGACCACGTGATAATATTGTAGCGATGCTGAGGCAGACAGGCTAAAAAACAAGCATCTTTATTAGGGCAAACTTGTGCCCACAAGTCTAACGACTATGGTCGTCGAGTCCGAGTAGCCGAGAGACACAGATTCAACTATCTTCCTCTTCCTTGTAGGCCAAGCGCACGAACGCGTGGCGCATGCCAGCCAGGTTTTGCTGGTGCTCTTGCCATGATTATTGCGGCAGGCTACTTGAACGTGGCCAACCTGTCGCGGCATTATCCCCCTCCTCAGACGCATCGTCCCGATGCTTGAGAGAGTGAAATGATACATGCGCACTCTCACTCATTTTCCGACGATCTGTCATGATAGGGCTTCATGCGGACTACGTGTACCACTTCCGTGGTATTGCGGCGTCTTGAGCTCACGTGTCCCGCGGATCTGACT